TTTACGTCACTCCAAAAACACCGCACTACGCGCTAGCAACAATGAAACGTCACAAAATGTTGCCATATTTATTTAAAAGCCTTTAGAATGCAAACCTACCAAATCCATATATTCCGACACCGTGTGTGACTAAATTTGGCATATTGTGAGACTAATTCTGGCCGTGCTTCAAACTCTACTAATTTGTAGTGCTGACACTCTTGTGTTCGAATTCCGAGTGCTGTGTGAGCTGTATTGGAATATGACAGCTTGCAATTAGAACACTATTAAATATTGAACACTACTTAATTAGGCTTTTAATTAAGAGCTATTAATCTTTTAATTAAGAAAATTTTGATTTTTGCACACAGCTTTGAACAAGCTGTGTGTGTCTAATTCCAAGCTGTGTCAGAATTAGTTTTTATGTGCCTTAAACCGTCTCTTAACTTAATCATCTAATAATTTTTTTACCACTTAAAATCAGCGAATAAAAGTATACTGAAAGGATTCCTAATATATTCACAGACATATTTAAAAGTCTAAAACCATAATATTCTTTCTACACAAACAGTTTATCACTATTTGGTAGAGCAAGGTCAACTATCAACTTTGACACATTTTTCGATGTTCTCACTGAGTGATGCGCACGGCCTCTCTTTGGATCTCAACATTTTCCTGCCAAACGGCCCAGACCTAGTGTTTTAGCAATAGTATGGCGCGCAAAAGTATGATGTCATTATTTCAACTATCAACGAATGCATGCAACTAAGAAAAAGCTTAATATAAAGGAAAAAAGTCGATAAGTGTTGAAATTACCCACGATGTCGGTATATACCGCGTTTACCCTAGTGACATAACATAGTGATGTTGGTGCTGAAGTGTAGGGCGTAGGCCTGATGAGGCCTGTTGCTGATTATTTTACTTTTTGTACCTTGTTCACCGAAGATCTAAAATCATGTCATTTGACCGGATTTTTTCATGACTGATGATAGTTTGAATTTTGAAATAGCTACTAGACTTCCACCAGGTTCGATATGGTGGCGGTGCTAGGCATTCTACATTTAAAGTCTGAAGTCTGAACATATATTTTTCCATAGCTTTATGTAGTCTGTTCTTGAATGCTTTCATACTTGGAGCACCAACGATGTCATCGGGGAGGCTGTTCCACATGTCGGTGATTCAAAGCAAGAAGAAATGTTGTCGAATTGAGAAATTGCAGCACAGTTTTTTTAGTTTATAGCCGTGGCTCCTGGTGTTGGTTCTTTTTTTCAAATTCTAGTAATCCTTCAGAGACTTTATATAAACTATGAGTATACTTGTAACTTGTATACTTCAATGAGGTCCCCAGTCCCCACACAGATGTCAATAACTGCTGGAAGCTTCATAATCTTTAATCTTTTTTCATAAGATTCTTAAAGCCTGGAATTATCCTTGTTGTGCATCTTTGAACATTCTCTATTAAATTTTTGTCCTTTTCAAATCTTGGTGACCAGTGGACCACACAATAGTTCCAAACTCTAGATTTGGGTGCATGATGGCAACAAACAACTGCTTCATCGCTTCTGCATCTAGGAATTTGTATGAGCGTCTGATTAGTCCAAGAAGTTTGTTGGATGTGTTGCCTTGCATTTAAAGTTTAAACATGCTTAGAAAATTTCAGCTCCTTGTTGACATAAACTCCCAGATCTTTTTACACACTAGACTTTTCAATCATTACTCTCTTGGTGCAATCATGTTTTTTCATACTGTAATCTTGCTGTTCATTGTTCTTCCTGAGGTGAAGTACTTTACACTTGTCAGCATTAAACTGCAGCTGCCACGTATCAGCCCTGTTAAGTGTTAACTAAACTGTCAAGATCATCTTGCAATCATCATCTTTGACACATCCTTCACTGTAATATAAACTTTTGTTTTATCAGCATACATGGAGCACATGCTGGACGCTGCTTATGGCAGATCGTTTATAAAAGCAATGAACAAATTAGGCCCAAGAATGCTTCCTTGTGGCACGCCATTGCGCACTGATGCCCAGTCTGATACCGTTCCGTTAATACTGACACGTTGTCGTCTACCTACTAGAAAATCTCTGATCCATTGGAGTACTTTTCCCTCAATTCCCAAAGATTTCACTTTACACAACAGCCGCTCATGCGAAACACTGTCAAATGCTTTGGCAAAATCAAGGTACAATGCATCCACTGGCTCCCTTTCGTCCAGCAGGCGAGGCCAATCGTTCAACGTAGATAATAAGTTAGTGGTGCATGTTACGTTTGCTAGTCGTATGACTAAGTCCAGGCTAGCTATAAGGATGAAGATGAGCAGAGACGAGACCATAGGTTTAGGGAACTGTATTTGGTGGAATCTGGTATACAACTGAATTATTAGAAGGCTTGCTGGCCTTACATGACCTACTATTGACAGCATAGTAGTTCTACTCTAATTTGTTCAATACGTAAACACGTAACAATCTACCGGCAATAAAACAATGTTGACGATCTGATAGAGATGGTGAACAGCCAAGTGATCAATAATCCTATCCCTCACAATACATTTCATTAGCTTACAAACAACACTTGTCAGACTGATATAGCTCTAGTTGTGGCTCAAATTATAGATATATTCAATGCCTGCTGTCTACAGTGTCTTTTTTAGCAAACAAATTTGTTCGATGAAAAAAAAAACAAAAATATTTATTATTATGGCAGTTCTTGAAAATCACATATGAAAAAATCTTTCTCATCCATAACTTTTGGAAAATTTTGACCCATGTTCTAAACTGGCTTGGCAGTTGACACTTGACACTTGTGTACAATATTGGTTTTTCCTTTCCATTCCTTTGCCTGAGTAAAAAATCATACCTTGCAAGTAAAAAGGTTATGCTCTTTCTTGGAAAATGAAACACTAACAATATACAATTTTTTCACTTGCTGAATAGGAGTTCTCAAAATGCAAAGTAACACAGCCAAGCAAATGAAAAACTGACTTACGAAATGTGGTCATGTATGTATGTGATTAAGTACTTCATAGTTCCTGTCCAAACACAAATGACCTAAATTTAGCAGTAAGTCATATCATTGTTAGGATAAGCAAAAAAAATTTTGCTTAAAGTTTGAAAAAGTCTGCTTCAACAAAGGCTCACTCTCTCTGAAACAAAATTAGTTGCTTGGCATTGCCCATTTTGTAGTCTCATTTTGATTTGCATTCATTTTTTCATATGTGGCAGCCAGCATATGTAAGTGAACATGAATTTGCAATATTTGGCAGAACTTTCTGAAAATTGCAGGTAAAAACAATCATTTCAAGCACGAATTTTGTAAATTGTGGCTTAGGATGTGCTGATATCCTTCATTAAAAAAAATTTAAGCAAATGCCATAGTAATGGGCAAAATTTTCCCCAAGTATGAGTGTTTTTTTTTCATTCATCAGCCGCTTCTATAATTATCTACAAATTGTTATAAACACTGCAAAAAATGAGTAAAAGTAGTTAAAATTTAGCCAAAATATTTCATTGTACTTGCAAGATATGTGATTGGAGTTTGGTAATTAATTTATTTTTAACATTTCCACAAGGCAGTTGTTATGTGCATAGCCCTGAAACTATGTAAATTATTCCATTCAAATCCCAAGGATAATTAAAACCTTCTTGAACCTGACTGTTCAATTCCCTGTGTTTGATATTGTTCTTATAAATTTATTCATTACTAAGGAGCATAAGTATGGTTGAATTTTTATGCCAAGGCAGATAGAAATTGTTTTCAAAACTTCTAAATGTGAATCAACAGTACTAGCTCCCAAGATTCACATTTTAATTTTCATTTGAGTTGACAAAAGCAGATTAATGTTTTTAGTTAATGTATAATATAGACCACCTGCTGACGTGAAGTTTACATATAATAATACCCTATCAATGCATTCTATTACCGTAGCTATAAGAACCTGTTCTCTGAGCTGAGACTCGCCCCATGCCTACGAGGGCGCCCGTGTAGGTCTTGTGAAGGGTCTAGGCTGTGGTGTTGCGGGCTGTAGGGTCTTGTGAAGGGTCTAGGCTGTGGTGTTGTGGGCTCTAGGGTCTTGTGAAGGGTCTAGGCTGTGGTGTTGCGGGCGCTGGTGCACGTGCTCGGCATGCTAGTGAGGGCTCATGGTCTAGTTTCTGTGTGGTCTTAGAATAATAGCCGAACAGGCGCTCCTTGTGTTGTCTTTACTCATAATATTTACTTTTGATATTTTCGCATATTACTTTTGATATTTTCGCATAGGTATTACTTTTGATATTTCCACCTTCGTAGTATGAGATTAGAGTTAGGTTTTAAGTACCGGTAGCTACCATATAATTTGACGCCAAATCGATGTTGTGATGTTCATAGTATAATATGTAATATGACTAGATACGCACTGAGGTTTCCAAAGTTGAATGTATGAGTTTGTTTTAAGATCATTTTGTGCGCCGGTTGGTGATCTGAAGGTTTGATTCAGAACACGTACAGTTCTGCTGCGCCGCTCTTTACTTCTCTTGCGCATTGCTCTTATTCTGCAATAAACAACACAACTGTTATGATTGATCTTACGTTTTTAATGAATACTTTTGCGTATTATGTTGTTTACTCTGATACACATTTCGCTCTTTTATATTATGTTCTTTACTCTGATATTCATTTCACTCGTTTAATTACTATAATGTATTAAATTCGCACTTAGCAGTTATATATTACTCTACTGTTTACTGCGGTGAGAGTTAATTTAGTTTAGCTCTGTTAGTTATTATATCGCATGCGGTGACCTCGTTTTGTTTTTTAAAACTGAATGAGTGTAGCCTGCAGTTACAGTGCAACCTGCAGTACATTCACGTTTTATTTTTTTTGCCACAGACGCAGTCCACGTGGAAGTACAGCCCATTCACGTGTTATTCTCGTGCCACAGACGCAGTCCACGTGGAAGTACAGCCCATTCACGTGTTATTCTCATGCCACAGACGCAGTCCACGTGGAAGTACAGCACATTCACGTGTTATTCTCGTGCCACAGACGCAGTCCACGTGGAAGTACAGCAAGAACAAGAACACGTTCGGGTGGGCGCGGGCTGAGGTGCTAGGGGCGCTCGTGAACAGCGTCTTCCTTCTCGCCCTCTGCTTCTCCATCTTCGTCGAGGCCATCGAACGGTGAGACTATCATGTAACGGCCAATACCAATCAGTACCTGATGGCGGGATAATGCTTTACGTGTTGTATAATTAACTGCTTGCCAAGAGTGCAGTGGCGGCGAGTTAGTGCTCTACGTGTAGAACAATCGACCGTTTGTCATCAGTTTAGTGGAGTCCGAAGTCGATGTCAGAAGTTCGAACGTTTGGCGATTTGTACACAACACGTGCAGCACATAACTCCCAGCGATGGTTTTGTCACCCAGATCTGTTTTTTTTAACCTCTCCTGGGTTTACGTCTCAGACAAACTAACGGCCGGACTCGCGGCCGGTCTCACTGCCAATTTCCAAATTCAATGATCAAGGAATATCTCTCAAACTAATGAACTTAACTCGATAGTACATGTAATTAGTACATGTATATTTAGTACAACCAAGTACATGTATTCATTAGTACATGTATTCATTAGGACCTAACGATAATGTTTAGCTCGTGAAAATTGTTTGAATTTTGCCATCGTTTGTTTGTGCCATAGTTATATGGCAATACGGGCCGAAATTCACAGTGATCAAGTAATTTCTTCCAAACTACTGAACAGATTCAAACGAAATTTTGAATTTGCAGTCCTAACTACCGAACGTTAATGTTTAGCTCGTGAAAATTTTTTCGATTGTGCCTTTGTTGCGATTTTTTTTTTCATTTCACCTTCATTCGTGATTTAAACAGCAATATGTGTTTAAATTCGCAGTAACCAAGAAATTTTTTCCAAACTGCTGAACAGATTTGAACGAAACTTAGTATTTAAATACCTAACCTCAGCAACGGTGATGTTTAGCTCGTTACAATTTTTTCGTTTTGCCTTCGTTTGAGAATTATACGGCTATACGTATACGGCTCTTGGTTAAACCGGCCGGTAGGAAAGCCAGTCGTTCCTCCTATATCTGTATCTGTAATTTTGGCCTGTTTCGCAATATACGCGTAACTCACGAATGAAGGTGAAATTAAAAAAATAAATACGAGCTAAGCATCACCGTTAGGTTTTGATGAATACATGTTCCGAGTTTCATAGAGCTGCGTTCATTAGTTTGGGAGAAATTACTTGATAACTGAATTTGGAGATTGGTCGTGAGACCGGCCACGAGTCCGGCCGTAAATTCGCCCGAGACGTCCTATATGCATGGTTTCTAGTGCTGAAACAGTTAAAACAGCTGAAAAACATATTGGTTCACTAAATGGGGTTCTATTTGTGAAATACACATTTGTGTTTAACCTTTCTCTTTTAAAATTGCAGTGTACTAAATTTTAAGATAGGCGTATGTCTGTGGGGGCGCTAGAAATTCACTAGGGAGCCAAAGGGGGCGCCAGCCTAGCTGAAAAAGTTTGGGAACCACTGGTTTAGTGGCAGCGAGCCCGTGCTCTACGTGTAGAACAATCGACCGTTTGTCATCAGTTTAGTGGCAGCCAGCCAGTGCTCTACGTGTAGAACAATCGACCGTTTGTCATCAGTTTAGTGGCAGCCAGCCAGTGCTCTACGTGTAGAACATTCGACCGTTTGTCATCAGTTTAGTGGCAGCCAGCCAGTGCTCTACGTGTAGAACAATCGACCGTTTGTCATCAGTTTATTGGCAGCCAGCCAGTGCTCTACGTGTAGAACATTCGACCAATTACCGTAATATGATTGGTAGCAAGCCATAGTGTTCTACGTGTAGAACAATAATGAGTTAGCAACAATCACAAGTGTTCGTATGTTAAGTTGACTACATCGCTTACTAGGTGTTCATGCCCCTGCTCCTGCACAGGATGTACGAGGGCAAGGAGGTGCTGCACAACCCTGAGCTCATCCTATACGTGGGCGTCGTGGGTCTCGTCGTGAATATCATCGGCCTGGCCCTGCTGCACAGTGAGTAACCCTACAACTAATCTGTTTTATTACTTATTATACCCCCTTAATCTTCCTGCTTTGTAGTAGTGGGTGAGTTCTTGACCTGGTTTTAAGTACTTATATCATCAGTCTGCTTATATCGCAAGTTCACAAGGAATTTAAAAGCAAAGAAAACGCCAAGAAAATTCACCATATCGATATTGACCATATTGATATTGATTGAATATCGATATTGAATATCGATATTCAATATCGATATGGTGAATTTTCTTGGCGTTTTCTTTGCTTTTAAATTCCTTGTGACCTGGTTTTGTATTGTATAGCTATTTAATTCGAATTTGAATATTAAATTTGATTTCGAATATTAAATTCGAAGCTGGAACTGTAAGCGACATACGTGGGGCATGTATCAGGAGGTGGAGGTGAGATAAGTAAGATATGAAACCGGAACTTGAGATACGTGCAACAAGAAGCGGGGGAAATGAATTGAGGTCCATGGCGACATGTGGTTGGGGACGGGAATGAGAACAGCTTGCGAGAACCTCGAGCCAAATGTCCTGACCAAAAAGTGACGGCAGCCCCGACGCAAGATTCATTATTCCCAGGAACCTAATAACCGCTCTGTCAATCCGAACTATGAAAATTTGCTTAAGCACACGTAGCGGTCTGAGTACACGTAGCGGTCTGAGTACACGTAGCGGTCTGAGTACACGTAGCGGTCTGAGTACACGTAGCGGTCTGAGTACACGTAGCGGTCTGAGTACACTTAGCGGTCTGAGTACAACTAGCGGTCTGAGTACACCTTGCGGTCTGAGTACACCTTGCGGTCTAAGTATATGTAGCGGTCTGGAGTACACGTAGCGGTCTGAGTACACCTAGCGGTCTGAGTACACCTTGCGGTCTAAGTATATGTAGCGGTCTTGACTCTTGAGTACACGTAGCGGCCGACTTATCACCTGTAATTTAGCTTGAAAAACAATCAGTTATTGGCTGACGGAGATACGAACACGTAAATTTTTTGATAGTACATCCTCAAGGCGTCAGGACCACGTCCGTAGGTTGTGATGGCACCAAACGTTCATTGATTTATTCTTCCGCCACAGAGCACGGTCACGGCCACAGCCACGGCGGCGGAGGTGGCCACGGGCACAGCCACGGCGGGGCATCTGCTCGCCGGTCGTCACGACAGGCGACGATCAACACGCTCGTCGCCACAGACGACAACGAGAACGATCAGCGTCTTGCGTCCGGCGGCTCCATCTCCATCATGGCGGCCGCGGGTGGCGGGGCGGGCGGCGGGACGGACGGCGGGGACGACGAGCGGCGGACCGACAAGAAACGCGGCAAGAAGTCCTCCGTGTCCATGAACATGAAGGGCGCCTTCCTGCATGTTCTTTCCGACGCCCTCGGTGGGGTCCTGGGGCATGTTGATACGGGGGAGGGGGGGGGGGAGTTTGTGTGTTAGATTAAAAGAATATCTTTTTGAAAGGATTGTGTGTTAAATTAGAAGGATTATCTCTTTTGAAAGGATTGTGTGTTAAATTAGAAGGACTATCTTTTTTTGAAGGATTTGTGTGTTAAATTAGGAGGCCTATCTGTGTGTGGTCAATGCAATAGGTCTACAATGATCGTAATATGTGGCGATCCTCAAAAGATCCTTATGACCATCATCATAATGATCAATATAAAGACCAATTTAACGATCTGTGTGACGAGAAAAATAACTATAAATAAAACGAGCTAAATAACGATCAAAACTACGATCGACACTACGATGTATACGACAAAGCGTGTTCACAGGGTCGGTGGTGGTGATCGTGAGCGCGTTGATCGTCTGGAAGACAGACTTCGTGTACAAGAGCTACGTGGACCCCGTGCTCTCCATGCTGCTCGTGCTGCTCATCTCGTACACTACGTGGCCGCTGCTCAAGGAGAGTGCGCTCATCCTGCTCCAGACCGTGCCCACGCACATACAGGTGCGTGACATGCATGTACAGGTGCGTGACATGCATGTACAGGTGCGTGACATGCATGTACAGGTGCGTGACATGCATGTACAGGTGCGTGATGCGTGACATGCAGGTGCGTGCCACGCATACACAGGTGCGTGACGTGCATGTACAGGTGCGTGATGCGTGACATGCAGGTGCGTGCCACGCATACACAGGTGCGTGACATGCATGTACAGGTGCGTTTAATACAGTGTCAAATAATACCTGCTCTTACACAAAGCTGATGCGTATTGTTTGAATAATACCCATGCAGAAACTTTCCCATCACGCATGCCTCTCTTCTGAAACTATCCAATATGGATGTCCAAAATCAGTCTAAACCTAAAGTGGGCGGTTTCTAGAACAAAAAAAGGAAGGGTTTTTAGAACAAGTTAAATGTTTCCAGAAAATAACAGTAAAGGTTAAAGTCTATAAGAAAATACAAGAAATTGATATTATCCGTTGGGTGGGAGGAATATGGCTTTATCATCGAATCGGGGATAATGGCATGTTTTTTAGATCTTCTTAATTATTAGTGAGGCTGAGTTCTAATGTACCGCAGTCATCACTGTTTACAAGTGTTGTACACAGCGATGTACAAGTGTTGTATCTCGGCCGCGTTGTTCTTAACCCTCTACCGCCTGACACGAGTAACCGAAGCAATATTGTCACAAGCCTACTTCACAAAAAGGATACGTTCCAGTGAGCGCAGAATGACTTACACTGAAGGTTGCCGTCACGTACGTACCCTTTAAAATGTTCCCTGTTGTGTGCAAACGTCCTCAGGTTGCTACACTTAATAATTTACTATAATTTAAGTTGTAAGATATGTTCCCGGAGAGTTACATATAGAGGGTTAAAGTTTTTAACCCTCCCGGTATAGTTTCATAGTTTAACCCTCCCGGCGGTAGAGGGTTAAAATTTTTAACCCTCCCGGCGATAGAGGGTTAAAGTTTTTAACATCCGCGGTGAAATCGGATCTAAATGAAGCTTAGTTTCATTACAAACCTTGGCAACAACCCTATTTATTCCCACAACAATCTCGTTTCCTTTGTAAAATGCCCAGAAATACATTAATTCAACCTAGTTCCTATTCATAAATTATTGTGTATTGTGGCCAAAAATCAATAAATTCTGTTTCACGAATACCAAGACGGACGAATATATGTGCAGGTGGAGGGCATCCAGCAGCAGCTGCTGATGGTGGACGGGGTGCTGGCCGTGCATGAGTTCCACGTCTGGCAGCTCGCTGGTGACAGAATTATTGCCTCTGCACACATCAGGTCTCGTTATTTGATGACACTTGCGGGCAATGCCTACCAATATAATCAACAACTTATAACCTCAATTACGTAGCGCAATCATCTCTAGTAATGCAGATGCCTCCGTCTGTAGTTATCACTTATCAGCACACATCAGGTCTCGTTATTTGATAACACTTGCTGGCAATGTCCTACAAGATAATCTACAAATTTTAACCGCGATTACCTCATTCTGCAGTGCGGCTGATTTGTTAACGCTCGTAGTGACGTATTATTTTCTTTGTGTGTGGCTGTGCCTTACAGGAAATTGAGGATTGTTTACAAAGATAAACCTGCAGCATAAGTATATAAGATTCGTTTACTCTTTACGATATCGCAGTGTTTGCTGTGAAGACTAACATGAACCTCGTGACGTGACTGACAACCCATCACGTTACAGGTGCCGTAACCTGCAGGACTACATGGTGCTGGCGGAGAAGGTGAAGAAGATGTTCCACGAAGAAGGCATCCACTCGACGACCATCCAGCCCGAGTTCGTGGAGCTGGAATCCGTGCATGCGGACCAGAACTGCATCCTGGACTGCCCCACTAACGACAAGGAGGAGTGCGCTGCCAGCACCTGCTGTGGGCCTACCTCCAGACAGGTAATGCAGTCCTTGCGTCAGTCTCCCTCAGGAATAACATCGTCGAAATCCTCAGGGTCTCTCCATGGCATGGGGCGCAGTGACTCGGGTGCTGCAAACCAAACCTTTACACCCAGCAAAAATAAGTTGTTTCCCTCGGTCTTTGATAGAGAAAATCTGGCGTTATGCCATGTGGGGGTGAAACGGCCTTCTGTGCCTGCGGTGCTACGGCGGGGCTCCCGCGCGTCCCTTGACTTGAGGAAGCCTTCTGGGTCTCTGACGTCCTTGCGTGATATTCCTTGTCACCCCATAAATATTTCCTTGAGTCACACGGAGGATCTAGATGCCTCGGCTGGGGGTGAGGTAAACCACGACTCTGTGGCCGTAGCGACCAAGCCCGGCGCTGGTTTAGGTGAAAGACTTGCCAGTCAGGGCTCCCAGCAAGATGTGTTGGCGCGTGTGCTCAGGCGTGGTGACACGTATACGTGGCATGCAGACGCTGCCTTTCCAGCCCATATCTGACTCTTGCCTGGTCGAGAAGGATCTGTGTCGTTTTCCAGAATATCATTCGCTGTTAATACCTGCGATAACTCAAGACTGCTCATGAGATCAGTTCGCTCCCAAACTTGATTGTTTTTTAACTTTTGGGCGTACGGGGTAACTACAGTGCTCAGTTCTTGAAATGCATTCAATAATGGACTTTTTTATGTTCAGTTTTGAAACCCTAGTGTTTTTTGTTGAACGTGTAAAAAATCGTTTAAGACAATTTTGTCACTCAACACGAAAATTTACAATATTAAATGCAGAATGAGAATGTTCTAGTGTCACAGCACAGCGTCTGCCAAAATAAAATATTCTTCTAATTTATTCGTCGTCGTTGTTGTTTATACATGACGCAGGCTGGCGTTCACCTCCTCCTCGTGTGATTTAGTTTGTCATATTACCTTTAGTGGACTGCTTCACAAACGTTAAATCGACAATTTGATTTTATAAATAAAGGTAATGGTTTCCAAACATCCGCGTACGTTGTTGTTGTTTTAATTGCCCATCCTGGTAGTGGCGACTAGATAAGGGAGGGGGTGATAGGTCAGTTTTTCCAGGCAGTTTAATGCCACTGGTAGTTCCACGACCATCATTGGCTCCGCGTACGTCGACAACCTCGTCAAAAATAACATAAGGTTAAAGAAGTGGGAATGGGTTAGAACAATTTGTAGTTTCGGAGCTGAAAAATGTTTACTCTTCTTACTCTTGCGATGTTGTTATGCCGAATGTGCATGTTAAATGTGTGCATCGGTTGTGTTCGATTATTGGCCTCCCCACCTAACAATTGCCATGGCTATTGTTGCTTGGTAGTCTCGTTTCTTGCCCTTTTATTGGTTGTTGTTCAGTTGCAGCTCGTCACTTATTTATTTATTGGATGTTAAGTTCCAGCACGTCACTTTTTAGCATCCCTAGGTTACCTGCATCTCTGCCCTTGTGCTGTCTTTCGCTTGTTAATGGACGATCACTTTCATTGATGCGGGATATTTATTTCGCAATATAAATATAATTAATGGCATTTATATTAAATTTCATCAACTAATTCGTTAATGATGCATTTAAGTACAAATCTAAATAAAAAAAACTGTCCCTCCTTAAGGCTCTCACATTCCACTTAGGGAGCTTTTTATTTGAGGTTCATCCTTCCGTTCCTCTAGACTCCCTTGCCCTGTGTTGAATGTATATTGTTAACTCTGGGACATGCTTGCTAGTTCCCCATCTTTTAATTAATTACTGCACCCTCTGACTCACTGCATGTATTCCCTTAATTCCCTGCAATATTTTATTACATAGTTTCTGCTCCCTTTTGTATTGCTAACGAACTTGTAAATTTCGATACAGTAGCCATATCGTCCAGATAATTTTTACCGCTATTTATTAGCATGATAAACTATTTATCTTGTTATTTAACCCATTTAATTCATCTTATCATTAACCCATTCTCAATAGAAGGGAATAGTTGTAGCAGGTGCAGCTGTAGCATGACGCATGTGTATGTTGCAGCTGCAGCATCAGAGTCCTGAGCAGCAGCAGCTGTTGCGGCAGCGCACAGCAGACGTGTAGACCTGCCACCCCTCACCTCCCCTCAGTTGCTCTCCTGTGCACCAGCTTTATTTCCCCTCAGGTATCTCCCCTCTCACCACCAGCCTCCCTCGCTACACTCACGCCTCCTAATAATTACTCTCTTCTGCTTATACTCTCATGCGTCCCTCTCTTTTGCTTATCCTCTCATGCGCCCCTCTCTTTTGTTTGTCACTCTCATGCGCCCCTCTCTCTTGATCGTCACTCTCATGCATCCCTCTCTTTTGTAACTGCTCCACTAACCACTGCTTAACTAACCACTGCTCCACTAACCACTGCTCCACTAACCACTGCTCCACTAACCACTGCTTAACTAACCACTGCATCAGGTGCGAGTGCGGCAACGTACGACGGGTTAACACTTTGAGGGCTTCACAATATATACATCAAACTTGATGATGACGTAGAATATTTGTAGCTCTCTGTTGTTCTGATTATTTGTCTACGTATGCTGATGTTATATTTTACAATGCAATGTTGGGTGATCACAACTTCAGTTATTTAAGGTCTAATCTCTCATGTTGGCGTCAAATTAAAGTTTATGTTACCCTAACATTGCGCGGGTAACGTGTAGTGTTCGTCCTTTGATTCACATTGAGTTTGACTCAAATTGGGCGTATGTTGAACACAGTAGGATACAAGCGAGTGTCGGGTATTGCCTCTGTGTACTAACAACATTAGTGTAAGGAGTAAGCCTATAGGTATATAATTAACTTTGTGTTTTGTCGGATTATTGTTGGATTCTATTGATAAGTTATCCTGGTTCTTAATTTTAACCTTTATCCTGTTAACCTTCAGACGTTATCTATGTTTAATTTGTTTGTCACCTCACTAGCACGTCTCGTCAACATCCTGCATGTCGTGCCATATATATTGGTTATGTGGACAGACAAACGTTTTCGGTGTCAATTTTCCATGGAATGTTTGTTACTAAAAAAACTAATATGCTTGCCTTCTTATTTTGCCTGTCCTGGCATTTGGAACCCAAGCTCTCTCTCCGTCCACCGACCCTCCGTTAGTCGAGCTGCTAAATTCTTTTCCTCGACAATAGTTTGGCTGGACATGCACTCTCACTCAGATGGGCAGAACGTTGTTGGAATTATTATTGAATGGTTTCATCCGTATGTCGTATTGACGTAATCTAAGCGTCACTTTTGAACGTGTTATTTAGATGGCCTGATGATGGTCACACATGTGAGATACTTGTTCAATGCTAGCGCTGCGTAGGTTGAATTACTTGCATAGTTTTAGTCATCTTTATCACTACCGTAAATTTCATATCGCGCGTGCCATGAAGAGTTTTAATGACGATGGAGCTGGTCTCCGAAATGTACTTGATGGAAATATAGTGGATTTAATTTCTTTTTATTTCTTGTTAAATTCTTAAAGGATTTTAAATTCTTTTAAAGACTTTTGAATTCTACGTCGCACCCACGTCTTCCTTCTGTGATGTTCGATAAGCATTTTATGCAGTGATGATAGCAACGGTTGTGCATGCCAGTGACGCCGCCAGTAAAGAACAAACAAATGCAGCTGTTGCGGTAGCCAACATTCTTAACTGTCAGTATAAGTAAGGTTAGTGTCTGAACTTAGCAGTGAAGTCCGTGTGAAGCTTCTGATCCTGGTGGTTTCTTGTTTAGCCTTTGCTGGAAGGTGGCCTCGGTGGCTTCGCATGGTGGTCATTGCTGATGGTGAAGCTGATCGATCGTTTAACTTCCACCTGATTGCTCGCTTCACCTTCCGTGTTTCATTGATTGTTCGCTTCACTACTCATGTTTTTATTGATTGATTGCTTTGACACTTCACTTCATGGGCTACTTCGCCAACTCACAATTCATTTTTCAATCCCTCAAGTCACTCCACGAGTCACTTATACACCTCTCATGTTCCTGAAATACCGCTTTACGCACGAGATGCTTGTCCAGCACAGCGCTGGTGTATCAGGAACCATTGCCCGCCAAATCTAAAGCTTCGTAGCTTCTATCCGACTTGAATTTCCACCCGCGCAGTCTGTCAAGAACAGGATCCAAGTAGTTCCGGTCCTCATGATTGCTTCCAAGTAAACCTTGCTGCACATCTCCCCACCTACTATACAGTGGCATAGCTACGGCCAAGCCGCTGCACCTATCCCGCAACCTACTCTATATAGTGAGCAGCACTCCATGATTGCGGACTCTAGGAGACCATCTAGACTCTCATCTAGACCATCTAGAATCTAGGAGACCATCTCACCTAATACCGCTTATCTCAAGCTAGTCCTTTCTCACGGCCCTACCAGTTTCCTTATCCTCTGTATTCTTCCCGCCTCCTTGCTTTCTTTCGCACGGCTTCCCTCTCTTTTAAACGTTTCCCAGCACTTGTCAGGTATTGCGTCTCTATAGAGCTAATGGACGCCGCGGTGCAAACACCATCAGGGCGTATTCTCTCCACTGTAATTATGGAAGTGGCGAGGAGGAAATATGTTACAACTACGTTACCTTTTCTTACTATTATTCATGCCGTGCGTGTCGTTACGACACGCACGGCATGAATATAGAGGTATAGAGGTATTTTCTTGATCGTTGCGTAGAGTTCTTGCATTATCGTGGATGAACAGAAGCGTAAGTAGTTGTTTTGTCGATCTCTTCACTACGCGCAAGTTTAGTGACGGTCTCGACACCAGCTTCATTACAAACGTTAATATGAACGCTTGTTGCTATGCTTGTCTTCATTTTTGTTACTGGTTAATTTTTTATATGTATTGTGCGAGAACTTATTTTGGGTAACTTTTTTTTGCTGTGCCCTCCTACATTTTTGTGCTCAGTTTGAACATATCTTTAACTTTATTAATTTGTTTGCTTCTTAGGTACGTGTATTTGTTGATATTTTTCGTGTGTGTGCTCGGTTTGTTTGTATTTAAATTAAGCTTTATTATTTGGGAGCTTTGTGTGTTTGTTGCTTAATCAAATATATGTTTATCTGTGCTTCGTATGAAATTATTTGAGGTAATACGTAGATTGTGTTGCAGGTTGACGGCTCGAGCCTGAGCCCCACGAACGTACGGCAGCGCAGTGTCGACCAGGCGGCGTCAGGAGGAGGACGTGTCGCTGCTGAGGCCACTGCTGCAGAAGGCGGTTACCTGCTGCTCCCCACCTCCCCTCGGTCTGCCGTGCCCTGCACCATCAGGGAGGCGGCTGTATGACATTAATTCTTAACTTTAGGACCACTGCCTCGCTACACAACTACTGCCGTAGGGGCGAAGTTCAGCCAATGTTTTTGAAGCGACATGCCCCTTGTGTGTGTCTCGCTTCACATTCGTTGCTTACTTTATTTGTACAATTGGAAAGCAGTGCAGCTTCATTTAGTAAACGATTATTATTTTTTGTCAATATGATTAGTAGCGGTTATTTTTTTCTCATTTTTGACTAATTTCATGAAGAGGATATATTTTTTTTTCAAATGTACAACGCGGAAACAAGTTATATTTTTTGTATTTTTTCCGTAGCATTCCTGTACACACTGGGCAGCAGAGTTTACTGAACTTTTTCTGCCAATTTTGTAGAGGATGTTACTTTTCCCAGCATTACCTTGTGTCATATATTCGTTCAATGACATGTTTTATTTTGCATATTAAAAAATTAGGCAAGGTTATCTCGTTAACTGAAACTTCAGGGCATTGTCTCGGCAAATATTTAGTTCTTTAATCAATTTATAAACGTTGCGTTTTCGTATGAAGATGATGTGCGTTTTGATGATAATTGACCACTATAGACTGGACTAAACTATCATATATCCACGTAAATTTCCTGTTTTCTTTTTTCGAATTAAATCTTATAGCTGTTGTAGCAGTCCATCGTAGTCAGCTCATGAAACATGTAAATAATGTCAAATTTTTTGTACTGAGATAAAGTGTTTCATTTGTATGACATTTATAGTGTCATTTCTGCTATTTACATTTCGCCATTTCTACTGCTAACTTTTGTAGCTTTTTACTGGCACATGTAAATTGTACAATAACTGGCAGGTGTTACAGCGCTTACATTGTAGGATGATGCATGTTACACATGTACAATAAAATTGTGCGTGTGAGCTTTCTTATTTATCTTGAAGTTTATAAAAGGGAAACTAAACTCGTTTTTTCGTTTATCTGCCAAAATTTTTAAATGTTGATGTAGGTAGTGTAAAATAATTAGTGTGGTTTTCATTAGCCGAAACTTCCCTGAATAAAGACGTAGAAATGTAGATCGCTTGTTTAGGGTAAATTTTCTCTTTGGTTTTAATAGTAAATATTGCGTATTGAAGACATCGGGTGGAGGCATTGCCGTATTATGTAACGTACATTTCTTGTTTAAAACGATCGAACTATTTATTCTATACTTTCAATTATTTTTCAACGTTTCTGTAATGTATATATATTTTTGGTGATACGTAACACTGTACTTCATAAACGTGTACAGATTATGTTAGTGCGTGGAAGAAGATTAGCTTAATTAGTTTGATTGACGAGAAACTGTGCGCTTTGATTTGATGCCGCAGAGCAGTCCTGCGGGCCTCTAAGGGACTTGCTTATTTCAGTTATTGTTAAAACTTTAACCTTCGACGTTTGTGTTCATGCTTTAGTCTGCCGTATTACTGTTTAAATTTAGAGCATTTCTATACGATATATTTTAGTCAGTTGATGTAACGTCTGACGAGTGGTGGCGTAGCAGTTAAACCCCGTAAGATTTTTTTTTTTTTTGCCTGTTATTAGGTTGAGGTTTTCTCGGCTGTTATTAGGCTGAGGTTTCCCAGAGAACGTCGAGCTTGAGACGATCAATGTTTGTAGTTATTTTGCTATCTAATGTATTAGTTAGGAATTCCCGGACGCGACGGTGTGGGTGCGGTAGACTACCGTGGTTCATCCTCGCTTAGTGGATGTATCCGGTCATTTTTCCGGATACGTTGTATCCGGTTATTTTTCTGGATGCATTGTATCCGGTCATTTTTCCGGATACATTTTTGTTACATGCATAAAATGGCCCCTATGGTGACTACACGTAAAGACGTAATTTTAACTAAGCACTCTGACTCTTTTTCTTAGATAACATTTAGAAGAGGCCTCACAGGAAATGTGCAAACGTGCTAGCTCCCCCCGCCGCCCTGACATGTTTGTATCCACTAGATGCTTGGCACCGTTAATCGCTATAATTAACCGTGTGAAAGCGGATTATCTGTTTGAAATACTACTAAAAAATAAACGTTTTCGGCTTCTTCCTGTGATGTTTTTCATGTCATTCGTTCTTCTTAGAATTCCCCTCAGGGGGGACTTCTGACGCGTGCCTGTGCTCGTCAGAAGTTCTATGGGATTTCGCGTTCCTAGGGGGATTGTTCCTGAGCGCCCCACCGCTGAGCTCGCGGTGCCTGAGTGTAGGTCTCAGTTGTGGGGTAAAGTTATTATGTAGGTAGGATAACTTACATTAAGTTATTACGCAGTTAGGATTCCTTACATTTCCCTTCTCTGTCTCTCTCGTGCGGGCGGCCGACGTCCCGTGTAAGCGACCTCTTGTTCGAGTGTCTTCGTTTCTGATGCTTTTCACCTTTCCCTCCTTGTCACTTCGTCTCTTTGAGATGCTAACGCTGCTTCTTTCGAGCCAGCTTCAGCGGGCTGGACATCTGAGACCTTCAGCCCCTTGTGGGTGATGAATAATTGAGACCTTCCACCTCTATGGTGATGTTCATCTTGACTTTCGGTGCGAGATAGCTAAACAGCTGAAGCGCTAGTAAACATTTGGCCACTAAACTAACTCTTCTTAGAATTTTACAATTTTATTTATTTTTTCAAAGTTGAATTAGCATATCATTTGATTGCATTCCTTGCAATGAATGTTGCAGTTTTGCTGTCTTTGAGGCATCTTGTTCAAGCAATACCTTTAAACATCGTGTCCATTCGATTTGAGGTCATATTGGGCTCCCTATCTTCACGGTTCATTATATTTTACCTCCTGTCTATTTTGTTCCTTTGATACGAACGAATCCTTTGTTATTTCCGCCGCTTTGTTTCTTCTAAGCAATTGTTATGTTTAACGAGCGCATCCTGCCTGTAAACTGTAGACCCTGGGACTAACTCCTGACGTGTCATGAACCTATCACTTGACTAGCTTTTATGTCCTGACATAAGCTCATGCGTCTCATTATCTTATCATGTGTCTCTCAATTGAAACCTTCACAAATGGCGTTGGTACTGAGTTGAGCTAGTAATGCTTTGCAAAGTTTTGAAGGATTATTTTACCGTATGATTACCTTTAATGCTACGGAACTCGCAAAGTAATGTAGTTTAAGCTTCAAACTACCATGAAACATGCATATTTATGGTAGTATGTTTTTCACTAATATTATCACGACGATCAAGCTATTACCTACACTTGAGACTCAAATAAGTGTTCTATCGTTATCATAGGCATAACTTGCATTACACATCTTAAAGACAAGGTTGCGTGTGACGGGCGTCATTATTTTCGTATTTCACGTCTATTATTTCCTTCGCCTTATTACCTTTGTACTGATTCGTGTCGTTGGATGTAGCTAAGAACCTCGCTATATCGTCTCGTTTGTTGACAATGCTTCGAACTACAAGAGAAATTTAGTATGTAGAATATCCTGTCTAGTTTCTCTATATTCTTGAACTTTAAACGACTAGTGTTCTCTTCGGTATGAAGGATACTTTACGTATGAAAGTCAATTTGACAAAGTTCTCGTCACCATGGCTGCAATGCGTGTTGGTCATCAATGAGAGCGTGTGTACAGTACAGGTATATTGCTCCTTAAGTTGCTCTTGCTTCTTCAGGAGAATTCTAAGGCTGTTATCGTAACTCAATTAAGATCATGTGTTCAGATATCCTTTTGTGTGCCTCAAGTCGCTGCATAGTTGGATATCAAGTGCAGGCTAGAAGTATAGTTTTCTTCTTTGTAAATAGCAAACCATAGCAAATAGTTCTTTACAGTATACTTGCATAGCATTGAATCTTTCTCTTCCTGCCCCTAATTTGCATTAAGTATTTGATAGTGTTCCGCATGAGCGACTGTTACGTAAAGTGAATTCTTTGGGAATAGAGGGAAATGTACTCCAATGGATCAGGAATTTCCTAATAGGCAGAAGACAGCGTGTGAGCATTAACGGAACCGTATCAGACTGGGCATCAGTGCGCAGTGGCGTGCCACAAGGAAGCGTTCTTGGACCTGTTTTGTTTGTCGCTTTTATAAACGATCTACCAGAAGTTGTGTCAAGCGTGTGCTCCATGTATGCCGATGACACAAAAGTTTGTAAAACAGTTAAGGATGCGTCAAATAAAATGCAACTGCAAAATGATCTTGATAGTTTAGTTAACTGGGCTGATGCGTGGCAGCTGCGTTTCAATGCTGACAAGTGTAAAGTACTTAACTTCGGCAAGAACAATGAACAGCAAGCTTACAGCATGAGAAGACATGGTTGCAACGAGAGGGTTATGATTGAGAAGATCGCGCGGTGCTCTGGCACGCCGTGCTGCTCGACGTCGCATGGACCGCGCGGTGCTCTGGCACGCCGTGCTGCTCGACGTCGCATGGACCGCGCGGTGCTCTAGCACGCCGTGCTGCTCGACGTCGCATGGACCGCGCGGTGCTCTTGCACGCCGTGCTGCCCGACGTCGCATGGATCGCGCGTTGCTCTGGCACGCCGTGCTGCTCGACGTCGCATGGACCGCGCGGTGCTCTTGCACGCCGTGCTGCCCAATGTCGCATGGACCGCGCGGTGCTCTTGCACGCCGTGCTGCCCAACGTCGCACGGACCGCGCGGTGCTCTTGCACGCCGTGCTGCCCGACGTCGCATGGACCGCGCGTTGCTCTGGCGCGCCGTGCTGCCCAACGTCGCATGGACCGCGCGTTGCTCTGGCACGCCGTGCTGCCCAACGTCGCATGGACCGCGCGTTGCTCTGGCACGCCGTGCTGCCCAACGTCGCATGGACCGCGCGGTGCTCTTGCACGCCGTGCTGCCCGACGTCGCATGGACCGCGCGGTGCTCTGGCGCGCCGTGCTGCCCGACGGGATTTCGCGCTCCTAGGGGGATTGTTCCTGAGCGCCCCACCGCTGAGCCCGCGGTGTCTGACTGCAGGTCTCAGTTGTGGGGTTAAGTTATTATGTAGGTAGGATTCCTTACATTAAGTTATTACGCAGTTAGGATTCCTTACATTTCCCTTCTCTGTCTCTCTCGTGCGGGCGGCCGACGTCCCGTGTAAGCGACCTCTTGTTCGAGTGTCTTCGTTTCTGATGCTTTTCACCTGTCCCTCCTTGTCACTTCGTCTCTTTGAGATGCTAACGCTGCTTCTTTCGAGCCAGCTTCAGCGGGCTGGACAATTGAGACCTTCCGTCCCTTGTGGGTGATGATTAACTTGAGATCTTGAATAATT